TTCCCTTAGACCAGAAATCTTCAGATAGTTTTTGCAATCTAGATTTGGGTTGTTTTTTTTTTTTCTTCTGAATTTACTCATCATGACTTCCAACACTGTTCCTCCTGCTCCTCTATCTCCTGCCCCATATCCTTCCTCACGCTCTTGTCACACACTGGAAGGTTTGACATGAGATAATGGCCTTATCTGATCTTCCATGTGAACTGACAGCAGCTATTTGTTTGCATGTGTGTGTAAATTCTTGCAGATTCCCTGTGCGATCTTTTATCACACCCGTGCAATTAGGGGAAGAAGAATTGATTTGTGACAACTTTCTCTTATTAAATCTTTAGCTGCTTAGATGATACAGAACACATAGGGAAAAAGAAAAATCATAAGGTTTGGGTGAATGAGAGGGAATAATGGATGTATAAATCTTGGTGGATAGTTTTGGGGGAGAGACAAGGATTATGCCACACTGGTCCCCGTCATCTTCCTAAATCACACATCCTTCACCAAATATCAGAGAATCAGGGAATGGTTTGGGTTGGAAGGGACATTGAAAACCATCTCTTTCCAAGCTCCCTGCCATGAGCAGGGGCACCTTCCCCTATCCCAGACTGCTCCAAGCCTCATCTAACCTGCCCTGGGACAATTCTGGGGATGGGGCAGCCACAGCTTCTCTGAGCAACCTGTGCCAGGGCCTCCCCACCCTCACAGGAACAATTTCTCCCCAGTATCCCATCTAACCCTGCCCTCTGTCCATGTGAAGCCATTTCCCCTTCATCCTGACACTCCATGCCCTTGCCCAAAGCCCCTCTCCAGCTCTCTTGGAGCCCTGCTGGGTACTAGAAGGGCTCTAAGGTCTGACTGAAGCTTTATCTTCTTCAGGCTGAACAATCTCAATTCCCTCAGCCTTTCCTCATATTAGACCTCTTCAATCCCCCTAAGCATCCTTATGGTCTCCTCTGGACTTACCTCCAGCATGTCCAGTATAGTTGGACATGATTTATGGTTGGAATCAGTGATCTTAGAAATATTTTCCAACCTAAAGTATTCTGTGATTCTAAATAGATATTTTACCACACTGCAACCTGTGGGACACAACAAAGTTCTGATCAAATGTTGGAAGCTTGTCCATCAATCACCAGAATTTTGCTCTCTGTTTGCATCAAAGCCCATTCACACAAAGCGAAGAGTAATTCCTTGGCATAGGCCTTGTCAGCTCAGAAACCCATCCTTGCCTTTTATCCACAATCCTTGGCCTAAGCCATTCCTGTTAGCAGGGCCTTGCTTTAGGTGTTTGTAAGAAAACATTAAGGCCTGGTGATGAAGGAGAAGACAAATTACTCAGTGGAGAACCTCGTGACTCTGCTAAAATGCTGTCAGTTACTTATCTGCTGTGGGCAGAGGTGGCACACTGCAGTCCCTGCCAGGCTCAGGCTCAAGGGAGATGGAGAGGAGGGGCAGGGATGCATCAGAGCACCTCTTCTCATGCAGAGACATTTTAACATCACTTCAAAGTGAGAACATGTCTGCTAGAGAATGGCACCTTGGATTTGGAGGTGGTTCCAAGCGGGCAGTGAAGAAGTGTTAGGGCTAATGCCATATTTCAGGGTGCTGACTGTCCCTGCTACGCCCCACCACGATGAGGTCACCATCACTTCAGTCAAAGCTGCTTTCTCTAACAGCAGCACAGCTTCACAAAGGTTATGTTGCCAAAGGTCTTTTGTATTAGGTGAAGGGGGAACACAGAAAAACAAAAAAAAAAATCTAAAAAATTCTTCCCTTCCTACTTGTTTCTTTCTTTTCACCCCCCAAATGAAAACCACATGCAAATCATCATGGTAGACAATGGTCGTCAAGCATTATTGTATAGAACAATATCTGTGAGTGCTTGGTGCTGGAAGACAAGCAGGATCCCACTGCCAATGTTTGACACACAAAAACCCCCTCACACATTACAACACTTGGCTAAAATTAGTGCTCTTCACGGAGAGCCTCAGCTAGGCCCAAGAAGGGGATGCTTTCAACTGCTGATGCCTGAATAAGGCACGCCATGCTTTTGCCTCTAAAAAGGCAATGAGTGCTTATTTTTGGCTACTCTGCCTGGCAAAGGGGCTGCTCCAGCCCCTTGTTACCTGTGCCTGGGCTGTGGGCTGAGGATGCTTGTCTGTTCAGCAAATTCTAGCCCAGAGTCTTAATTTTCTAATTCATATTCATCAATTAAAAATAAACCGTCCCTTTTGATGAGTGAATTTACATAAACCAGTTGCTAAAGCATCCTAACACTAAAGGGTAGGAGTTCAGCCTGGAAGATTTGCATGCAGCATCCTCAGATGAAGGCAGGCGCTTTCGATTTTCATCGAGAGCCTTGCTGCGCTGGAACTCTAATGGGCTTAGAACAGTAAATTTTGAAGAAACTGATTGCTGCCCCCGTAGCTAGTAAATGCCTGCCTGGACCCAGTGGCATTTGAAAAAAGTGTTTTATCATAAAATTATCCCAGCAGAGTCCATTCTG